TTGCGACACAGAAGTTAAACTCAGGATGCTCTGGTAGTCATTATTGGCAAGGGATGTACATTCGCTCCTCACTGTGGAGTTTTTATGGGAACATGTGATTACTTTTCTCTCCTCAAATGTTCATCCATACAGTGTCACAGGATCCCTCAGCCTTGCAAAATACACAGTGTTATGTTTTCAAGACATTGCACTCCTCTGAGAATTCCCCCTCACAGTTCTAATTTCAACAGGGCCCTGACTAGAAAAAAACACCTGCAGTCAGCTCAGGAATGGGTTTGCAGGCGACATGCCTCCTGATGACTCCTGGGGACATGTTCATAGTTACCAAAGCCAGATGGGATCATCTGGTCTGACTGACTGCAGAGCACACACTGGAGAATTTCCCCAAAATTATTCCTAGAGCAGATCTTTAGAGAAACATCCAACCTGGGTGTAAACATTCTCAATGATAGAGAATCCACCAAGACCTTGGGTAAATTGTTCCAATGGTTAATTACTCTGACTGTTTATAAACAATGTGCACCTTATATCCAGTCAGAATTTCTTTAACTTCAACTTCTAGCCACTGGATTGTGTTACACGGCTGTATGCTAGGTGGAAAAGCCAATAATTCAGTATTCACTCCCCTGCAGACGGTTAACAATTTACTCCTTAACCATCTTCCTTAAATGAAATAGATTGAGCTCTTTGAGCCTATCACTTTAAAGCAGGTTTTCTAATTTTCTGCTAATTCTTGTGACACTTCTCTGAACCCTCTTCAGTATATCAACATCCATCTTTATTCGTGGACACCAGAACTGGATGCCGGATTCCAGCAGCTGTGCTAAATGCTGAGGTAAAATTAATTCTCTTCCTTTCCTTGAGATGCCCCTGATTATCATCCAAGTATCTTATTGGCTCTATTAGCCACAGGGTCACACTGGGAGCTCGGATTTAGGTACTTTTCCCATCTTGACCCCAAATCTTGTTTATATTCATTGTTCCTCCCGCTGGGTGAGAATTGCTTGCATTCTTTCTAGATATGGACATCTACATAGCTGAGTTAGAACATACATAGTTTGCTTTGACCCAGTATACCAGACAATCTAGATTGCTCTAATTCAGTGACCCATCCTTTTCAAGTTTTATGATCCCCTGGTTTTTGCGTCATCTGCAAACTTCATCAATATTTACACCTGGGAAGGGTTAGTAGCAGAAGCTATGTCTAGACTGCATTCCTCTGTCGGCAGAAGGATGCAAATCAAGGAAATCAAAATTGCTAATGAAGCAGGGATTTAGATATCTCATGCTTCATCCCTTAGCATAAACATGGCCACTGCTTTTTTTCGAAACGGAGTTTTAAAAAAAGACACGGATCTCAAAAAATGAGGTTTACAGGATCTGTCGAAAAAGGGTTTATTTTCGACAGATCCACATCTAGACTGCAGTTTTTTTTTTTTAAAACTCCGTTTCGAAAAAAAGCAGTGGCCATGTTTATGCTAAGGGATGAAGCATGAGATATCTAAATCCCTGCTTCATTAGCAATTTTGATTTGCTTGATTTGCATCCCTCTGTTGACAGAGGGATGCAGTCTAGACACACCCTGAGTTGCTGACATGGCTCTTTGCTTACAGTTTTCCATGAACATCTGTATCTTATATCTTACACAACGCTGGGTGCCTGCAAGGAAGAGTATCACCAAAAGGAACGAGGGAAGTAATAGAGGTGCTGGCCAACAGCCCTAAATACCAAGACCCTTGTGCCCATTCTGTTGAACACAAAGTCTTAGCCCAGCAGGATAATCCATGTTTCCATGAGGGACAGCTGGCTCTTTTCCAATACAGGGTCTGCATCAGGGGTCAGACCTATGCTCCACCAAGTCCAATGTCCTCTCCTTGATAGGACAGCCCCGAGTGCTGCAGTAGAAGGTATAAGAAAACCAGCAGTGGGTGGAAAGGAGGATGACTTGACCATCATGAAAGTGTCACCCTAATGCCTGACAGCTAGAGATTGGCTTGTGCCCTGAAAACTGGGTGTATACAAGGTTTCCAAAATATTTCTTTAGCTGAATTGTCTCACTATGCATGTAAATGTCCAAACCCTTCGGCTATGTCTAGACTGGCATGATTTTCCGGAAATGCTTTTAACGGAAAAGTTTTCCGTTAAAATCATTTTCGGAACAGAGTATCTAGATTGGCACGGAAGCTTTTCTGCAAAAGCACTCCGTGGCCAATCTAGACACACTTTTCCGCAAAAAAGCCCCGATCGCCATTTTCGCGATTGGGGCTTTATTGTGGAAAACAAATTTCAGTTGTCTACACTGGCCCTTTTGCGCAAAAGTTTTGTGCAAAAGGGACTTTTGCCTGAATGGGAGCAGCATAGTATTTCCGCAAAAAGCACTGATTTCTTACAGTAGGAAGTCAGTGCTTTTGTGGAAATTCAAGCGGCCAGTGTAGACAGCTGGCAAGTTTTTCCGGAAAAGCGGCTGATTTTCTGGAAAAACTGGCCAGTCTAGACATCACTGCAACCTAAACCATCTGTAGCTATCTTGAACTGTTGGAATCTCACTGCTCACCCCCCTTTCCAGGTTATTGATAACAATAGAATATTTACTGTTCCATTTGTTACAGAGTTTATAACCCTTCTTCCCTCACTGTGCTTGTTTCTTCACACAGTGCACAACCTGTGGAACTCCTTGCCAGAGGATGTTGTGAAAGCCAGGACTTTAAGGGTATGTCTACATAGCAGCATTATTCTGAAATAACAAACTACACGTCGATACCAGGGGTTCCCAAACTTTTTGACAGGGGGACCAGTAAATCCATTCACGAACTTTTGGAGGACCAGTAATGTTCATTTGCATATTTGCATATTCATTAATCAATATTCAAATAAGTTGTTTCTGGTCCTCCCAAATCTCCCAGTGCCAGCTTTAGCAAAGCTTTTGATATGGTCACCCACAATATTCTTGCCAGCAAGTTAAGGAATATGGATTGGATAAATGGGCTGTAAGACAGACAGAAAGCTGGTGAGACCAGGGTTTCCCAAACTTTTTACTTTAATTGGAACCCTTTTTTTTCAGTTCTGCTTTTTGCAGCCCAAAAATATAAACACATGAAAAACAAATGAAGAAAATACCAGACATATAACGTCTGGTATTTTCTCAGTAGGGAAGTTGTATTATTACTAGATGTATCAGTTTGTAGTTTCAAACTGCCTGGCTGGTAAATGTGCTCAGGCTGCATGAGTGTGTCTACCAGCCAGA